AAATAAAATTAAAAGCTTTCAAACATATGAAAAGTCGGATTGACTAAATAAGATAATTAGAGTGGTCTTGAAATCAATTAATTTCTGAAGATCTTTGCCTTCTTGATTGGTATGGCCCACCTAGCTATCAAGTGGCATTAAATTAAGTTTTTAAATTACTTTCTCATGATTTTAAGAGTATTATTGGATATCCATGAGCTTGCATGGAGAGTTGTGCATGATAAATGATCCAAATTTTGATGTTGGGTTGTGATCTTGTCCTTGGCCTTTGTCTTGATGTTGCGTCAATCAGTGCCATAGTGGGAACAAAAATTCAGTTTGGAGACTCTAATTCTCTGGTCATAATAACTCTCAATAAACTCACTCTTGCAGGAGCCACAGTTTTGTGCCCTCCCTAGAGAAAAGGAGAGCAGGGCTTCTACTGGGACTTATGTAATATAAGTTTTTGCTCCAGGTTCATCCGGACGAAGTCGGATCGTCCGGGACGATCGGTACAGGTTGTGCAGAGAAAATCATGTTTGGCTGTATGGTTCGTCTGGACGAAATCAGGATCGTCTGGACGAAAATAAGTCAGAGAACCCTTCGCCGGGGACGATATTCAATTTTCGTCTGGACGAAATAATTCTCTTCATGGATCGTCCGGTACGAAGCTCGATCGTCCAGGACGATCAGTCTGGATATATATAGAAATGAGATATTTTGAAGAGAGAGAAAAAGTTGAGGAGAGAGAAAAACGAAGAAAAAAGTGGAAAAGTGGATTTTCGGGCGACGCCGAGCTGTTTTCGTCCGAAGAGACTGTTGAGGAAATTGCTGTACGCAAGGTAAGGCACAATCCGACATTCTCAATTTTCAAAACCGTCGAGTTTGGCGGTATTATCTGTCCGGAATTAAGTTTTGTTCGCGATTTTCGTCCGTAATTTCCGACTGGTTTAGTTTCTACCGCGTAACTTTCTGTATTTTGTTGAAGTGCCGAGTGTGCACATTTTGGTTATTTTTTTAAGATTTTTGTCCGGGTATTTTTGATTCGACTGTGTTTTTAGTCGACTGGATTTTTCTGTGAACTTGGAAATTATCTGTGCAGTAGAATAAATGTTCTAAAATGTTGATATCTATATTCTGTGCGAATTTGGTGAATTTTGATTTTTTTTATTTTTTAGTAATATTTTAATTTCATAGAACATTGAAATAATATATTGTGAATTACATAAATTTTGATCAAAAACTATGAACACATTTTTTAGTAATAGGGTATATACATCATTAAAAAATTGTGTTTATTAAGCATGAATCTAGATGCATATTTAAATTAAAAATTTTTAGAATTAAATTTATGACCATCCAAACTCCAATTTAGCAAACTTATAGTCGAACCGAACGTTTTGACAAGACGAACCTATTAATTCCAAATGTGATCCGATTCGCATCCAAATGTGCCTATATCAAACTCTTGAAGCATAATTAAAAACTTCAGGGCATTAGTTTGATGACCAAACGATCTCCAATTATTGCATGCTTTTAGTCAATCAAGCTTCTTGATGAGATGAATCCAACAAGCCAAAGATCACTTAATTTTGACATCATTAAGGCACTTAAAAGCCGAAGGGATAACTTATGATCGAGGGAATCAATACAAGCCATTCATTGGAGTGTTTTGAATTTCGACTATATTTATTGGCATGCTTTTCTAAAAAATTCTATAAATAAACCCCTACTCTCTACATGAATGAGAGATGACCTTGGCTTGAGACTCAATAGAGCTCAAAAGCTCTAAGAATCATGGAGCTCCACATGACCTTCGTTGTCAAATCATTGCCCGACCGCTGCTATTAAAACATTGCCCAACTACTATCGTCAACACATTGCCAGGCGATTTCCATCGAACCACTGCTAGACCACTTCCATTGGACCATCTTCTTACTAACATTGTTAGACCACTGCTTAACCAACACTAGCGGATAACCACTCAACCTCCATCGCCAGAACATTGTCGAGCTTCTGTTGTCAGGCCAATGCCTTACTGCCATCATTGGACCACCGTTGACCAACATCATCGGACCACCATCCCTATCTATGGTCCTCCAACTAGGGTACTCCGACCCTCGTCGCCTGATTATAGTTCTTTTGACGTCTCTTAAATACGGTCGCTCAACTACTATTGCCTGACTAGGGTCCTCTAACCATTGTTTGCTCAATTATAGTCCTTCGACAATCTTCACCTGATTGTGGTCCTCCGACCTCCATCGCTCGACCTTGATCTTTTAGATCACCGTCGCCGGACTACAGTTATACGAGCATCGTTACTTGGCCATGGTTATCTATCCTACGTTGCCTAATTGCGATCCTTGAACTAGAATTGCCCTACTACATCCTTCGATGACCATCGTTGGGATATGGTCCTTCAAATTGCTATCGCCTCTCCAACCACCATCTCTTGAGCACAACCATCCTATCTCAATAGCTCGACTATGATCCTCTAATCACTATCACCTGACTATGATCATTCGACCACCTTCGCTCGACTACAGTCTTCCCACCACTTTCGCCCAACTATGGTCAGCAATGCATCACCACGACAAAGGGCTAGGACTAGATCATAAATCAAGGGCCAACATTAATATTTGAGCCATTCATCATGCACAACTCTTCATGTAAGACCATGAACGTCTCATAATACTCTTAAAATCATGGGAGAATAGTTTAAAAGCTTAATTTAAGGCTTCTTGATGGGTATTGAGTAGGTGAGCAATACCAAATTAAAAGATAGATCTTTATAAATTAATTGATTTCAGGATCACTCTAGTTGTTTTATTTGGACAATCCAAATTTTCATGTATTTGGAATTTTTAATCTAATTTAATTTCTTTTATTTTTCTTTGTATTAGAACATGCCATCAATTTATATAATAGTATTTTATTGGTTTTAAAGGCTTTTTAAAGTTCTTTAGACTTGAAAACGACTTATAAATATGACCTTACTTTATACTTTTTGATTCATTGAATAAATATTATTTTTTCTTGTGCAAATTTTGTATGGAAAGGTTTGATGACTGCTCCTCATTAGTGAAATTTGGTTTGTGATCCTCTAAGCTTTGGTGAGTATTTAATTATCTCTTCTTACATTTAGTCATTTTTTTAGATGCAATTTTTATCACCTCCACTTAGCCTCTAGCATAACTTTGTTCAACCTAAAAGCACATCCAACTTCTTCGAAATTCTCATAATTATCCCCATACATCCCTCATAACCTTCTAAGACCTCAAATCTCCAATAATTCTAAGATGTCATTAGCCAAAATTTTAATACAAATTTCTTATGTTAGCAATCAACTCAAAAATATCATAACCCCTTAACAACTGATCCAAAACTCATAAAAATACCACTATTAGTTCTCTAACTTTTCAAACTTAATTTGGAGTTCCTCCCTATTTTCACATAGAGAAAACTTGACATTTGAAAGCTTAGAAGTTCCAGCTCTAAATCTGTCTAATATGTAAGTTCTTGTCTTACCACCAATCAAACAACCCTTTAATCACCACCCTAAGGTGACACCAATTAAATTTTTTGCCTTTGCCATAATGATTCTATAAACCCTGCATAATACAACACCACTATGATGTATAGTCTATATGATCTTTATGGCAGCAACAACAACAACAACATCAAGCTTTTATCAACTATGTGGGGTCGGCTACATGAATCCTTTTTCTCCATCGTGTCATGTTAAGAATCGAATTTCTCATTTAAAACTAATAAAGAAAGGTCATTTCTAATATTTTTTAACCATGTCTTTTTAAGTCTACCTCTATTTAAGATGACTCTTTTCAATCTTATCTTCCACTGGAGCTACTCCAACCTTTTCACGTATACGCTCGTTTCGTATCCTGTCTCTATAAGCATAAAGCCACTCATGCACCCGATTATCCTCATCTTTGCAAGACTTAATATTATGTTCTCTTTTAATGGCCAACATTCTACAT